TTTCACGGAAAGTGCCAGACTATACAATTTTTCGTTCTGAACTCATATTTGTCATCAGAATTTTCAAATTATGTTCCTAAAATTATTTTGCTCATTTTAAGCTCTACCGGTTAATTCACAAAACTGTAAATTCTCCGGCAGAACGCACTGTTCATAACATAGTCATGATTACAGTATTTTGCCCACAAAATCAAATATCAAATATACATATACCTGACATCAAACTCAGGATATCGCTGGAGAATTTCATTCTCCCGCTCCCAAGTGGCGTCCTCAGGAGTCAATCCTTCCCATTGTACCTTGATCATGGGAATAGTCCTGTTTCTCAACACTTTTTCATCACGTGCTAGAACCTTAAACGGTCCCACAACAAACTTCAAGTCTTTTCTTACTTCGATATTGTCCGGCTGTACAATGTGGGATTCATCCGGCACGTATTTTCGAAGTTGACTGATGTGAAAAACACTATGCAAATTTGACAGATGTGGAGGTAAGGCAAGCTGATAAGCCACAGGTCCGACCCTTTTCATAATCTGGTAGGGCCCAATGAACCTAGGACTCAACTTCCTCACTCCTAGAGCACGCCCAACACCCGTAGTCGGAGACAAACGGATAAATACATGATCCCCTTCTGAAAATTCAAGGGGTCTATGCTTTGCATCATAATAACTCTTTTGGCGACTCTGTGCTTTCTTCAATCGATCCTTAATCATCATAATTTGATCGGTAGTCTCTTGGACCATATCAGGCCCAAATAACTGCCTCTCTCCAATTTCTGACCAACAAGTAGGCGCCCTGCACCTACGGCCATACAAAGCTTCATACGGAGCCATGCCCAAACTGGCATGATAACTATTATTGTAGGAAAATTCCACTAGAGGAAGATATTTATCCCATGCATTTCCCTGCTCTAAGGCACAAGCCCTCAACATGTCCTCCAGGGTCTGAATAGTCCTCTCAGTCTGACCATCAGTCTGGGGATGATAAGCCGTGCTCAGCCTCAACTGTGTACCGAAGGCCTGTTGCACTGCATCCCAGAGTCTAGAAGTAAATTTAGGGTCCCGATCACTAATGATACTTTCAGGAACACCATGAAGTTTCACAATCTCTCTTACATATATCCGAGCCAACTGCTCTGTGGAGAAACTCGTTTTAACTGGTATGAAATGTGCAGACTTTGTCAATCTGTCAACAACTACCCAGATGGAATCAAAACCAGCCTGAGTTCTCGGTAATGCTACTACAAAATCCATAGAAATACTGACCCATTTCCATTCCGGAATATCCAAGGGCTGCAGTAATCCAGAAGGTCTCTGATGCTCAATCTTAACTTTCTGACATGTCAAACACTTACTCACAAATAGAGCAATGTCTTTCTTCATTCCCGACCACCAGAAATTCCGTTTCAAGTCTTGGTACATCTTGGTAGCACCAGGATGGATAGTGTACTTACCCATGTGACCCTCAGTTAATACCTCATCTACCATCTGACCTTTTGGAACAATGATTCGATCCTTGTAAAACTTAAGACCGAAACTATCAGTGGACACAAAGTCCTGCTCTTTCATAGACTGAATCTCTTCATCAAGCAATTGAGCTTCTTTAATCCGCTCAACTAATGAATTCAGGACTACCGTAGTAGTCAATAAATGCGGACTATCTTCTGTATTCACAGGAATGTGGAGATCCCTGAATTTCTCAATCAAATTATACTCGGAAATCATCAAATTGGCCATACCAAGCGTCTTTCTGCTTAAAGCATCAGCTACTACATTGGCTTTACCAGGGTGATATTGCAATTCAAAATCATAATCCTTCAGAAATTCCACCCATCGGCGTTGCCTCATGTTTAGCTCCTTCTGATCAAACAGATACTTTAGACTTTTGTGGTCACTGTAGACAATAAAATCGGCCCCGTATAGAAAGTGTCGCCAAATTTTCAATGCGAACACTACGGCTGCCAACTCAAGATCATGTGTCGGATAATTCTCCTCATGTGGTTTCAACTGCCGAGAAGCATAAGCGACCACCTGACGGAACTGCATTAACACACAGCCTAACCCAAACTTAGAAGCATCACAATACACCACAAACTTACTTGTAGGATCCGGCAATATTAATACCGGAGCTGTAGTCAACTTCCTTTTTAACTCTTGAAAGCTCACTTCACATTCTTGGGTCCACACAAATGGGTTCCCTTTACGGGTTAACCGTGTCAACGGTAAAACCATCCGTGAGAATCCCTCAATAAAACGCCTATAATATCCAGCCAAACCAAGAAAACTCCTGATCTCTGTAACATTTTTAGGACGTTCCCATTCTACCACTGCTTCAATCTTGCTCGGGTCCACTGCCACTCCTTCAGATGAGATGACATGGCCCAGAAATTGTATCTCAGAAAGCCAGAATTCACATTTTGATGGTTTAGCATACAACTGATGCTCTCTCAGAATCTGCAAAACAACCTTTAGATGCTCGGAATGCTCTTCTTTACTCTTTGAATATATCAGTATGTCATCTATAAAGACCACCACAAACTGATCCAGATAGGCTTTAAAGATCCGATTCATATAACCCATGAAAACGGCTGGTGCATTTGTAAGCCCAAAAGGAATAACCAGATACTCATAGTGCCCATAACGGGACCTGAAAGCTGTCTTCGGAACGTCATCCGGCTTTACCCGGATTTGATGATACCCGGACCGGAGATCAATCTTAGAAAATACAGTCGCACCACGCAACTGATCCAACAAATCATCTATACGCGGCAAAGGATACTTATTCTTAACAGTAACCTTATTCAACTGCCGGTAGTCTGTACATAATCTCATAGACCCATCCTTCTTCTTAACAAAGATCACCGGGGCTCCCCAAGGAGACACACTCGGCCTAATAAAATTTTTTCTGGATAAGTCTTCAATCTGCTTCTTCAATTCGGATAATTCCAGAGGTGACATCCGGTATGGGGCAAGAGAGATAGGTCCCACACCAGGCAATAAGTCAATTGCAAATTCAATTTCCCTCTCTGGAGGGAAGTGCGGAATTTCATCCGGAAAGACATCCTCAAATTCAGAGACAATCGGAATAACAGAAACTGGCTCCTTGTTGACGCCAACCAAACCTCCCAATAAAACATACCCGAAATCTCCTTCCTTCAAGGCCTTTACCACCTGAAGTACAGACAAATAAGGAGACTCCCTTTCTTCATCATGAGATGAGACAGAAATGGTTTTACTGCAGCAGTCAATCTTCACACAGTACTTGGACAACCAATCCATCCCCAGAATTAAATTCACAGAAGCAAGGTGCAAGACAATAAAGTCGGCAGAATATTCCCTGCCTTCATACTTGAATTTCACATTTTCACAAACATAGTCTTCATTAAAAACTCTTCCCACAGCCGTAACAATACGCATAGGAGTTTTCATTTTTATCACATGCAGACCAAATGCTTCAGCTACATAATCAGCAATAAAAGAATGCGTGGCACCAGAATCAAACAAAACACTAAGCATTTCATCATGAATAGAAATCATACCTCGCACCAAACTAGCTGACCTCTCAGCCTCTTGCTGAGTCACTGCATATACTCGGGCAACTGGAGGTGGGAGAGGTAGAGATGGTTCCTCAACCACAATAGGAGCCGGAGTGGCCTGAATAGTAGAAACCTGTCCCCCATTAAAGGGGCAGTCCCTAATAAAATGCCCAGGTTGGCCACATTTGTAACACAATCTTTGCTCTTTTCTGCAAACCCCAGCATGAACTTTACCACATGTAGCACATAGAGAAGCAGGCTTAATATTTCCAGGCTTAGAATTTCCCGCCTTTTTGAACTTACCATCAGACTGTCTAACCTGCAACCCTTTTCCTTTAGAATTCCCAGAAGTGTTTTTAGGACCAGAATTAGGAGCAGATTGGTCCTTATGCTTCCTTCTGTAATATTCTTGAATATTTTTACACTTTTTAACAAGTGCAGCAAAAGTATCAAATGAGTCACCTGCAAGTTTTTCAGAGATGTTATCATGTAATCCTCTATGAAATTTAAAAATCAAATCATCCTCTGTAGGTGGAGCTCTCTGGAAATGAGAGTATTTGGCCAGCTTATTGAACTTATTCAAGTATTCATCAATAGACATCTGACCCTGCTTTAGTTCTTCAAATTCACCCTTCTTCCTTATCCGGGCTTCAGCCGGAAAGTATTTCAGCAAGAATTGCCTTTCAAATAAAGGCCAGGTAATAGCATAACCCTGACATTCCAAGGGCAGACGGGTATTTCTCCACCAATCAGCTGCATCATTCTGCAACATATAAGAAGCATACAACAATTTCTGCTGATCATCACACTCCATGACAGTAAAAATGCGATCCAATTCTTCTAACCACTGAATTGCAGCAATAGGATCAATGCCTCCTTTATAATTTGGTGGTGCATGTTTTCGGAAGGCATTTAGCATTCTTTCTCTTTGCTCTCTATTAGTGGCTGGCTGTGCCACACCACCCCTGTGACTAGATTCTTCATTCACATCATTATTTCCTTCACCCTCCACAACAATGGGATTATGAGGAGGAGGAACAGGCTGTTGTGGTTGTGGCTCAGGCTGTGGCTGTTGCAAAGGCTGTGGCTGTGGACCTTGCCCACCCGCCCTCACCTCAACCAAGAGTAATCTCATCATTTCAATATTCGCCATTCTGCTTGCTGCCATCATTTCCTGATTGGCCAACCTATTAGCCTCTAACAGATCTTGATTTGCTTTCATCATCACTTCTAGCTCTCGCTGCCTAGCTGCAGCCATATTTTGTTGCATCTCAGTTAAGGCCATTATCATTGGATCTGGCTGTGAAGTATTTCCCCGCGGGTTAAGTCGGGGTCTTGCCAAATCTGCCAATATTGGATCGGTCGGGTCAATAGGAGGATCAGAAGTCCTTCTTGGGCGAACCATAATTCTGCATATTTCACACAAAGGAATGAGTTAGCTACGCTCACACTCGGTGATCAGACATGCATATCATAGTATTCCAAGAAAAACTCAAGAACATAACAACCCGAACAGTTCATGCAATATTTCACAGGCTCTCCTAGAGAAACTGCTCTGATACCATAAATGTAACATCCCCGTCTCGAGCCGGTTCAATTAACATACATATGATACAAACAGAAACAGCGGAAGACTTAACTTACAAAAATATGAGCTAACTTTTTCTTTTTCTAACTTAATTCTTACTCGGCGTAAACGAAAATCGGGCAGAGTTTCCTCTATAACTCGGACAACTGGGGATTTTCCAATCCCACTCAGAAGCATTTCCTGATAAACAGTTTATACAACATATCAATTCAGAAATACCAGATATCCAAATATAATCAAATACCCATACATGGGCGCATGCATAACATGGCTCCGTGCCACTAAATCTAACAGCATGCCATCAAAACATAAACCTATCTGAATACTACATCATCATATAACGTTCCTGAATACTCAAATGTACATGCATCAAACTGATAGACATGTACCAAACATATACAGGCCATATACAAAATAAAGGATCAATATCATGATCCATCAAATGCGAAAATACTAAAATACATCAAACACTCCAAAAAAGGTAGTAGCCTACAGCCACTCAAAATCCGGTCTGTCAACTGCCTCAGCCACGTGTCGTGTCCCTGCCTAGTGAGGACTCACCGGAAATCTGGGCCCCTGAAAATGTGTCCCCAAAGAGGGGTGAGATTACAAATCTCAATAAGCTCCAGGTTTATAGAGAATTCTCCATACCCCTGGCTCACTCCTGCATGAAATTCAGATACAGAGTATACAAATACAACATATAACAGATATCATAACAGAACAGAGCATATATCCATATCATATCAGAGATGTGCGCCGTCATTCCCAAGGGAGGACCCCAAGCGGAAATCAACGCACGTGTTCCCGAGGGAGGACCCCAAAGCGGAACCAGACATATCAGAGGAGTACACCATCAGTCCCGAGGGAGGACCCCAAAGCGGACGTCCGGGTACTATACAATCAATGGCCAGAGATTGTTACAGAAATCATATTACAGAAGTCATATCAGAGCAAAACATATCATGTTATCAAATAACTCTATATGAATGCATCTATACAAAGCATCTAAATCACAGTCAGACAGTCCAACCATAGTTCACTAACCATGGTGGAGCACTCAAGCAGGAAAAGACTCCTTAAACATAGAGCTTACCTCTTGAAGCTTTACCAATACGCTTACTTGTGGAACAAGTTACTTTTATCGCTTCAAGAGATTTCCGATCCTTCTCAATCCCTAGGCACACCTAGAGAATAATTTACAATGCATCAATAAAATGATGCAATACCATGATTATTTCATAAGCATACATTTTATCGCTTATTTTTCTTTCTTTATATTTTTGCCAATTCTATGCCAATACACAAGTCTAGACCTCTATACACCCGTTGGCGTTCTTTAATTTAATCAAGCATTTACTTAAGAATTTTTCACATAAATCATGTTATTTTTCTTTAAAAGTCGCGGGCGTACCCTTAGGGACTCAAGGTATTTTTCAACCATTTGTCAAAGCATTTCACTTCTTAGCTCATCCATTGGTATATTAACATGCAACCCATTTTATTAGAATAAAATGTAACCAATATATATATACCCCTAAACATCCTATAGTTCGCAACATAGAGCAAGTATTTGTAGGATTTTTTCTAACTTTGGCATTTCCACCAATTAATCCATTTACACTACATTCCAACATATTTTACCTTTTCAAACATACAATAAAAATTTGCATGATGAACCCTATATAAGCCATGAAGGCCGAAACCTAGGGGAAAAGTGCACTAGGGCTTTTCAATTTTTTTATCACAAATTAATGCTTACTAAACACTATCATTCCTATACAACAACAATCCATCATAATTTTCACCTTCTAACATCAAATATTTCCCACTCAAAACATGCTCCAAATTTTCAAAACATAGATCACAAAATAATACCATAGAAATAGAGGTTTCTTACCTCTAATCACTTGTACAAAGCCTAGAGAATAACCTCCAAGCAAAGCTCCATCAAAAACCCACTTTTTCTCCTCCTATGAATAGTAATCCGAAAATAAGAGGAGGAATAACTCTTCACACACTCAACTATAGCTCAAATGGATAGGTGCAATGGATTCCTTGAGTGGTTCCTAATCAATTTCAAGTGGTGGGTCATAAGATTTGGTTGAGAATTCAAGAAGAAATCAACAAAACAAGCAAAACCCTAACCCCCCCTTTTCCATGGCTGAAGCTCGGCCCTTCAAGAGAGAGAAGAAGAAATTTTTGCAATGAATAGTGATTCATTTAAGTGGCCAAGCTATTTAGGCACATGTGGCCCTTTTGTCGGATGTTTTTCTATCGCGTATTTCACTTAAATTTACCGGAAACTTAACTTAAAGCTACGGATATATTTTTATTTTTCTAAAGTTATTTAAATTAATTTTTATTTCCTAAGGAACAATATTCATAATTCACAGTATGGTTTTTGCACCGTTTTTAACGAAATGCACTGTGAACCACTAACTGTACTTTATTTAATTCTGAAACTTAACACTTATAAACTTATCATTTTCTTGGGCCTATATTGACTTGCTTGGCATATATTGGACTTTCTTATTCTTATTTCATCAATTATTTATTTCTGGACTCTACCGGTTGCTTAAATAGCAGTACAAAATACCCGGTAGAAACACTATTCACGAGATTTTCACGGAAAGTGCCAGACTATACAATTTTTCGTTCTGAACTCATATTTGTCATCAGAATTTTCAAATTATGTTCCTAAAATTATTTTGCTCATTTTAAGCTCTACCGGTTAATTCACAAAACTGTAAATTCTCCGGCAGAACGCACTGTTCATAACATAGTCATGATTACAGTCAAAATACTCGAAATCGCTCACTGAATCTAATTATGGCATTTAAATCCTTAAATTAAATCTCTAACTAAGATTTACCAGTTAGGGTCATTATAAGAAGGATCTGTTTACAAATTTTTTTAAATTTTTTTTACAAATTATACTATATTCTCCCGAGAGAACATAGTGTAGTTTGTAAGAATATGTAAACAAAAAAAGTTTGTAAATATAACCTGCCTCGTCATATTCTTATGGATAAGTTTTATCAAAAATTTTGATGAGGTTAATAAGCTTTTAAGGGTCTTCTTAGTTCAATATATTTTTCCATCCTCTCTCTCTCTCTTTTTTCTCCCTTTTCTTCCTTTGTTGTACTAGTGTCTCAAGTATAATTGTCCCACGATAAGTTAGTGGAAATTGAGATGGAACCATGATTAGACTGGATCAATATTTAATTATTCTCTATGCTGGTCAACAACGTACAAAGTAACGTTTCCTGTTACATAATAGATTACTCAAGACATACAATCTAGTTACATATTTCTAGTTTTTGAAAACTTACGTAAATTGTCCTCAATAAAGTAGTAGCAATTGGTGGTGATCAACTCTATATAGTAAAACCATGCTTGTCTCCAATAGTGATTGATGTATAAAGCCACTGCAGTTGCCAACAATGCTGACGTGTATGATACAACAAAGCTCACACAGAAAACATACATGTCAATGGAACTGTCATTAAACCCATCAGTGTACGAACCATTTAGTAAAGGAGCAGGTGGTTGTTCATGAGCATTGCAACTTTTTGGTAGTGGAGATCCACAAAGAAAAGGATTGCCTTCATAGCTGCTTTCATCAAAGGTCATGAATTGTCCTTTCCTTTCGGGTGTTGCACCTGATAAGTTGTTGTATGCCACACTAAATACTTCAAGGGAAGTTAACTCATTGAGTTGAGGAGGGATTTTGGAACTCAACTTGTTAAATGAAAGATCCAAGCTTTCTATCTGTACCAAACTGGAGAATGTAGCTGGGATTTTTCCTGTTAGGTAGTTATATGATAAGTTCAAAGCTCGAATTTTTGACAAGTTTCCGAGCTCAGATGGGATACTGCCAGTCAATTTGTTGTAGGACAAGTCAATTCCGGTCATATAAGCAAGGATGTTCCCAGTATAAGTGTATGATCTTTTTTTTGTAGTGAAGTCTGCTTCCTCTCGTATATCTGGAAATGGATGGTTAACTAAATCATCATAAAAGTCAGGAATTCCCATTTGCATGTTGAGAGGGTCCTCATCCTGAAATGGTATTTTTCCCAAACATCTTGGTATTGGACCAGAAATATTGTTATGAGAAAGATCTAGGATGGTTAAATTCACCAGTTGGCATATTTGCTTTGGTATCTGCCCTGAAAAGTGGTTACCTTTCAAAAGGAGAATGTTCAACTTTGTACGACTAAGGTCTTGTATAATGTAATGAATGCTAGTAGATATCTCATTGAATCTAAGGTCTAGTATCCTTATATTATGGTAACTAGACCTTTCTGCGAACATTCCATTTGACAAGCCGCTCAACCTATTGTTGCTCAAATGGATGAATATCACAGAAGAATTGGCAAAAGATGGTACAAGACCAGTGAAATTATTTTGTGAGATATCTAGGTAAAATAGAGATTTAAGTTCCACAATTTCTTTTGGAATAGATCCTTCAAGATGATTGTTGGACAATGAAAGTACCATTAAGATTGACGAATTTCCTACCACACTTGGAAGCTTTCCCACTAAATGATTATTGCTTATATTCAGGGCCACCAATGATGTGTTAAAAAGGCTACCCGGGATGCTACCAGAAAGGTTATTGTCATCCAAATACAACAACTCCAAGTGCTTCAAAGCTGTCAAAGTAGGAAAAACGGGTCCATCTAGCATATTGTTTGAAAGTTCCAAGAATTTGAGTTGAGACCTAACCCCAGATATGTTCTTTGGTATTTCTCCAGACAAATAATTCTGTGACAGATCTAATATTCCCAATAAGTTCATTTGACCCAACTCACCGGGAATTGAACCTTGGATTTTGTTCATAGACATGTTCAGAGATAGCAAATTTGGAAAGATTGAACTAATATTGTTGCCAGGGATTTGACCAGTTATGACATTGTTAGACACATCAAGTCTCCTTAAGCTGTAAAGGGGACGTGATGGCAATTGGAAAGTACCAGTAAAAGAGCAACTTCTAACAAAAAATTGAGTCATTTTTGTGTTGTTTTCCAACAACCAGTTTGGAAACTCTCCTTCCAACTCACAACTAGTAAAATGCAGACTAGTCAAATTATACTGGTAAAAAAGAAAATTGGGAAGGGGAAGAGACTTAGTCTCAGCTGTTGAAGACAAACTAAGCACTTGTAACTGAAATTTTGGAATCCAAGTTTGCAAACTAGCTTGTGAGTCGAGTATGACTCTGTTACCTTCACCATAAATGAACTTAAGGTTAGAATGATTGGCGAATGGTGTGAATGAAATAGGGACATCAAATTGGTTTTCTTGAAAATCAAAATACTCGAGTGATGAAAGGCTTGCAATATTGGAATCGAAATTTCCAGAGAAGTAGTTGAAAGAAACATCCAGCCTCCGAAGTGATGTCATGTTAACAAAAGACGAAGGAAGTGAACCCTCAAATTTATTAGAGCTTAGATCTAACTCTTCCAGCATCTTAAGCTTAGACCAATCTGAAAAATAAAATTTTGACAAAAATACTATCTCAGAAGGGAAATAATGTAAAGGATATAAATACATTTAAACAAACTTAAAAAAAAAACATTGGGTAGAAGAATTCGTGGTACATAACATAAACGGTAATTAATAACTAAAATGAATAAAATAAATTACCTGCAGCAGGAAGGGAGCCATTAATCTGACAACCCGAAAGAGACAAAACTTTCAAAGAAGTCAATTCCCCAATACTTTTGATAAACTCATTTTCCAGGTTAGAATTGTCGTCCAATGCCAAGTGTTCTAGGTTACTTAAATAACCAAAATCTACACAAAAATTAACATGAATCTTAATTTAACAAAAAGGAAATGAAATCACAAATTGTAAATTATTAAGTATTATTACCATCAGCAATAGTTGTTCCTTTAAATTTGTTTTCAATCAAAGAAAGAACCCTAATAGATGAGAAAGCTTGTAACGACTTCCGCAGCTTGTTTCCATTTATCCTATTGTGATCTAAAACAAGGACATCCAATCTGCTTTGAAATTTTGAGCCTGAAAGTTGTAAGGTGGGTTAAATGTGACAAAGAAAATGCATCTCAACTTAAGTTACATAAGGGGATAAGTAAATCTTGTTACAAATTGTTATCAAAAAAAAAAAAAATCTTGTTACAAATGCAAATACAGGAACTTTCAGCTAACTATTGGGATTGAACAGCTAGTGTCATGAATTTATACGACGTATGTGCTGTCCATCACATCACTAAAAAATTGAAACATGAAGACAACTGATATCATGTGCTCAAATACCTTTATGGAGAACAAAATTGTGGATTTCATTGAGACTTAGATCGAGGTACTGCAAGTTCGTTAATGCCGATAATCCTGCTAGAGATAAACAGGGAACTTAATTATTATAATGTCATTCCCACCGACTAATATTTTTTTTTTTTTTCCACTCATAAAATAGATGTTTCGAAAATGTGCCTTTGTTTCACAGATACCACAGAATACATCTGGTTAGCACGCAATAAATAATGTGTAGAAAACATTTAATGAAATTTGGATATGTCAAGCAACCACTCTCCAAAAAAAAACTTAAAAGTTATTAGCTCAAGACTGATGAATAATTTTATATTTTATATCATATTTCTAACACATTCGTTCACAGAAAAACTTATTATATATATATATATATATAGGGGCAGGATATTCTTACACCGGTGTAAGAGTTAGAAGTCTTACACTCGATCTTGACCATTGATCCACTTGTATCCAATGGCTCACATTATTAAAAAATTAGAGCCCTTAGATATAAGTGGGATCAACGGACAAGATTGAGAGTGTAACTTACACTGGTGTAAAATGATCCTGACCCATATATATATATATATTTTTTAAAAATCATCTAATTTATTCTAAAATACTATAAGATATAATAAAAGATATTATATATTTATGGTTTTTTAGATGTTATTATATAATCCAGCAGTACTCACCACTAATATCGAGAGATCCTTTCAATTGGTTCCAACTTAAATCAAGAGATTTGAGACGATCCAACCCTCTTAGAGATGAAAGAAAATTGTTACCGAAACTGTTTGAACTCAGCCCAAGGACTTGTAAACTGGTTGGCCATGCAAATCCTTCATTCTCTAGTATAAGGAAAACTTGTTATCAGTACTCACTACTGAGAATAAGGAACATGTTCACACATCCATATTTACTCTAGTATAATAAATTATCAGATGATGGCAGCAAACCTAGAGGCCATAGGATACTCTCATTCAATTTGTTCACAGCTAAGTCAAGGATTTCCAAAGACCTCAGTTTTGAAATATCTGCAACATATATGCTGATTAGAGCTACATATATTTTTCAGCCAAAAACGAATGATGAAGATTTATAATATGCAAAGCGTGACCGTACTAAGAATTGATCTCGTAGTCATGTACGAATGTCCTAAATTTAAAGACTTGAGATATGAAAGCCCACTAAGAGCAGATCCAATATCACTCTCACTGAAGTTGTTTTTGGCCATGTCAAGGACCTCAAGATTCATCAACAAGGAGCAAAAACCTGCAAGGTATAGTGAGTTACAGGTATATACCACAAGACAATCAACATTCCTACAATAAAAACCACTGTTTAAGAGCTTTATTAATAAAATGGAAAAAAGTTACCGTACCTTGAATATAAAGATCTGAGTCCAATCCAATTCCAGACAAATACAGCTTGTTCAAAGATGTGAATGCCCCGAGAGATGGCAGGATGTCATTAGTCAAATTGTTGTAACTTACATCAAGGACCTCCAGATTAAGCAACTTTGATGACAGTGTTTCAAAAACTGAGATATATAAAATGACAGTAATTACTTTAAGGTTGTGGAAGAAGCCAACAAATTTTGGAAAAATAATACCAAATTTAGAAAAGGCTTACATACTAATTATTATTAGAGTAACCTCAGGAAATTTCACGAGCCCATTTTAGTCCCTACGAATAAAAAAGTCCATCGTGGTCCCTCAAAAATTCAAAAGAACTCATTTAGTTAAAATTGTGATCCCTCACAAATTCAAAAAAGAGCCATATTAGTTCTCAAAAGGGCTAAAATGGGTCCAATTTAATTTTTTTAGGGACCACGATAGACTTTTTATTTGCTAAGGACTAAAACGGGTGTCGTGAAATTTTCAGAAACCAAAAAAGTATTTACTCTTATTATTATTAACATTTAATATAATTTTAAATTTTCAAGAAAAGAAAGCCAGATCGATCTAGCCTCACCGTGGATTAGTGAAGTTGCATTGAACCTGTTATATGATAAATATAGAGACTTGAGAGATGAAAGCCCATCCAAACAAGATAGAATGCTTGCAGCATCTTCAAGGTTATTAGCACTCAAGTCAAGGACTTCCAGATTTTGAAACCCTGCAAAGTGGAAATGATGGTTGCGTCATAACAGAGTTACTTTCATTTAGTACAATTAATAATGATCAGGATATAGAATTTGTATGGGAATGGGAAATAACCTTCAATTTCTTCACAACCAGCTATGTTATTGAAGGACAAGTTGAGACTCTTCAAATCTTTGAAGACTACAAAATCCGAGTAATTTAGATACCATTGTTCATCCCAATAACGCCATTTGTAATAAAGATTGAGTTTTGCCACTCTCCCTATAGTGGTGTTGCACTCAACTCCTTCCCATTGACAACAATCAGTGTCGTCTACCCAAGACAGAGTGTTAGCAAAACGGGAATTTAGACGGAGAAGTGCTTCTCTCTCTTGCTTCAAACACCCTTGACAGCAAATCACTTCCAATAAAACGAAAATAAACAAAAGAACGCCTACACTCTTCATTTTCATCTTCATATTTTGTTAATAGAACAATGGAACTTGGCCGTTTAAATAAGAATGGGGTCTATGACGCGCTTTTCTATCTTCTATTGTCGTCATTGGATTCCCTTTACTATTAAAAAAGCAGCACCAATTAGTTTCCCAATACTTTCTTCTTTGTAACCTTTATTTTTTTGAAGACTTCTTTTGTACAATATATATGTAGGGCCTTGCACTTGTGATTAATTAAAAAAGTTGTCTTTAACATGGATGGAATGAAGGGGGACGACTTGAGGTCAACCCCAATGTTGTGACTTGGGCAATCACCAAGAAAATCTTAACTAGATTCCAAATGCCAAATAACTTTGTTGTAACAGAACAATGCACATGGGAGCTGACGTGTTTTTCTTCTATTCTCTTATTGCTTGTAATTTTTTGTCAATTACTTATTTTGTACGATATGTTGGGCTTTCACTTGATTGTAATGGTCCCGTTGTGGTGAAACCGCTCATAAATTATAATATCACTTATTCTATGCCCCGAATTGCACGCCTCATATTCATATTCATATTGTGTGTTTGCATTCTACCATGAACCAAGGAGGGACGACGACTTGACGTCAACCCAAAAAGGGTAGGTAAAAGTGGGACGACGACTTGACGTCAAGCCCAGAGGCCATTATCTCGGCAATCTCCAAGAAAATCCAATTTTGAATATGTTTTGGACCGGCCTTGTTTATTAGCCTGGCTATTAAAGACACGTTATTACTTCTTCAATTGAAACTTTAGGATTCTTATAGTAGATCATTCTTCTTTCATGTTTTGGAGGGGCGCTTGCCTCACTTATTGCAGTGGAGCTGTTAAGTAAGTACATATATTTTGGAAGAAAATAAAGAATTTAAGTTTAAGGTGAAAGAACCTTGCCTCAAGCACACAAGTGCAATAAAAAAACCAATTATTCTTTTCTCTGTAATTTTTATTGAAATACTTCAAGATTTAAATAAATAATATAAAGCAACTATAAAAATTAACTATTCACTAATACTAAATTGCCTCCACTAACAATCAAGGCTTGTTATTTAGCAAAGTTGAAATTCAAACAACAAAACAAACAAATATTACTATTGATCGAAAAAGGTCCTATAATTATGATGTTAGAAATTTTATATACGAGCAATATTAATTAATGTTTTTGTATTTTCTAAAATAATTGGGTTAATGGATATTCCAATTTAATCTATTATGATAAGTCCATTGTGATCATGTTGAGTTGGGTTTTTGACATCTTTTGGTATTGGGCCTAGTTGGGCAGCACAGTGTAGGCATTAGTGTCTGATTGGGCTTTTGTGATGGGTGGACCCATCAAACACACTGTTGATTAGGGTTTTGCTAGGTCCCCTCTCTAGTCTATTTATATTGGGATTAAGTCCCACCAGCCGTCATGCTCCCATCGTTGAGGCTGCCACTTTCGAAATAGGTCATAGAAAGAAAGACTCTAGCTATGAGATCAAAGTTCTTCGCTCAGTAGATAAGATGATCAAATTAGTTACACAAATTCCTCTCAGAACAAATTGATATGATGTTTTATCTATCATACATGTATCGATTTTTATGTTGAATTATTATATGAAAATTTCTTACATATGACCCATTATTTCGTCTCCTCAAAGAATTTTAGAAGTGAAGCTCTCCTTGGACATCTTATACTTGAACAAAAAACATGGAGCTTTGGTTGAGGGGCCTTGTTTGATTGAGACACTTTCACCACGTTCAAATTTTCAATAGCAATGGCAGCACTAAAGGGTTTCTTGTTTGGTGGAGAGAAAGAGAAAAATGTGTGGGGGTGGAAGCCATTGGAGACTTAGGAATGAAATCAGAGCAACGACAATAGGTGTGAAATGTGGTTTGGTGATTGGAACTTTATAGATTTAGTCAATTTAAGATTTTGGTGAACATCTCTTTCAAGTGAATCGATCGTGCCCCAATTGCGTCTTCTAATTTTTCCACCTATTTGTCCATGCCTAGCTCTAATACCAAGCTATTTAATATACTTATTTTGGAAAAGAATACAAATATTCAAGTAAACAAATAACAGATTATTTAATAGTGGCATAGACAACCCATATGCTCACATGAAATAACAACATAATCCATCAAGTCTAGTCAAAATCAAGTCTCATCATGGAAAAATGAATAATCATAATATGCATGACTTATAACAATAATGTGTTGGACAAGTGGCTTCAATACTCAAGAGGGGGTGAATTGAGTTTTACAAAATCTTTTCGCAAAGTGCCTCCTTTAATATTTTAAAGAGTGTTTCTTCAATAAAGTGATTTAATAAGGAAAAATCTAAGTGTGATAGCAAGTGTGTGATTAATAAAGTAAGCAAGCAAATAGATAAACACAATCTAAAAATGCAATTTCAATACTAAAATAAGGAGTTTAAGGTTAGAAAAATTGCAAATTAGATGTATCCTGGTTCAGTTACTACCACTGTGACCTACATCCAGACTGAAGCCAGCATTTGTCTTTAATTCTCTGTAACTCAATGAATCTATTACTTACTTCAAGATTTGCAGGTGTCTTGTTAAAAGCCAGCATTTGTCTTTTGTGATAACCTCTCAGCTTTCTATCTCGCCAAGAATCTTACTGTAATATCCCTGTCTCGAGCCGGGTCAATTAACATACATATGATACTTAACAGAAACAGCGAAAGATTTAACTTACGAAAATACGAGCTAACTTTTTTTTCTTGAATCCTATCTCACATGATATATCACACATAAAACTTCTAGTTTTATTTTCATTTTACGGAGACGAAAATCAGGCAGAGTACCGTCTGTAAATCGGACAAATGGGGATTTGAAAATCTAACTCTCAAGGTGCCCTGATAAACAGTTTATACAATATATACTTTCAGAGATATCAGATATCCATGTAGGACCATATACACGTCCATGGGCGCATTCATAACTTGGCTATGTGCCCCTATGTCTATCAGCATGCATATCCAACATATAATCATATATCTGAATACTATATCATAATATAAATATGCCTGAATACACAAATGTACATGCATCAAACTGAAAGACATGTACAAAACATATATATGCCATATACAAGGAATGGATCAGACATCATGGTCCCAAAATAACAAAATACTGAAACAACAAAATATCCACCTAGTATCAGTAGCCTACAACTACTCAAAAATCTGGTCCGTCGCAAACTCTCTAGCCACGAGTCGTGTCCCTGCCTCCTGAGGGCTCACCGGGAATTTGAACACCTGAAATGATGTCCCCAAGAAGGGGTGAGATAACAAATCTCAGTAAGTTCCAGGTTTATAGAAAATTCTCCATACCCTGGGCCCACTCCTGCATGAAGGTTAGATACATAATATACAAGACATCATATAAGCAAACATCATATACACATATCTTATCAGAGATGTACGCAGTCATTCCCAAGGGAGGGCCCTAAACAGAACTCAGCGCACGTAATAAATATCATAATAGAAGTGTACACAGTCAATCCCAAGGGAGGACCCCAAGCGAAAATCAGTGCATATAAACCCATTTACGAAAATCATCACAGTAATCACATCAGAACAAAACATATCATATCAAAGATGTACGCAGTCATTCCCAAGGGAGGACCCCGAGCGGAACCACACATATCAGAGGTGTACAAGGCATCATATAAAAATTATCATAACTAAAACAAACATATATATACATATCTGATCAGAGATGTACGCAGTCATTCCCAAATGAGGACCCCAAGCGGAAATCAGCGCACATGTTCCCAAGGGAGGACCCCAAGCGGAACTCAACATATAACAGAGGTACACAGTCAATCCCAAGGAAGGACCCAAGCGGAAATCAGTGCACGTGTTCCCAAGGGAGGACCCCGAGCGGAACCAAACATATATCAGAGGTATACACAATCAGTCCCAAGGGAGGACCCCAAGCAGATATCAGTGCACACATATAATCAATAGCCAAAGATCATTACAGAAATCACATCGGAACAAAACATATCATATTATCAAATAGCTCTATATGAATGTATCTATACAAAGCATCAAATACAGTCATACAATCCAACCATAGTCCACTAACCATGGTGGACATTCAAGTAGAAAAAGACTCCTTAAACATAGAGCTTACCTTTTGAAGTTCTACCAATTTGCTCACTTGTAACACAAGTTACCTATTTAGCTCCAAAGGAATCAAAACACGCTCAGTCCTTAGGCACACCTAGAGAAAGAATCCAAAACAAAACTCAATAAAATACTACAATGCCATGTAGTTACAAGACATACACTTTTTTATTTACTTTCGTTTCTTTACATTTATGTCAATACACAAGTCATAACCAGTTTTCTTTTTATTTAATCATATTAGGTCATGAGTGAGTGGTTCTTTATTCAACAAATTCCCACAAAATTCCACATATTCACTTAGTCTTAGGATAGTCCTAAAAGGCCTATAGAACACTCATTACTCCTCTTAGCACCTAGAAGCCTATTTTTTCCAATTTAAGAAAAAGTGTCCATTACAAAGGAGCTATAAGATTTCTCTTTGTCTAGTGCCTAAACCCAAGCTTAGCCACCTATATAATTTATTTTACGCATAAAAGTGTTCTCACTTGGCGAAACAGTAACTCCAAACGTATACCTCCTTTGAAAATGGCCAAAACTCATTTTAAGGCCATACAAAGGAACTACCTTATTTTCTTTTTTATTTCACCAAAGCGAAAGTTCATACACCTTAGAATATTATTCCACGCGTAAAAGTATGCTCGCTTTTCAAAACAGTAACTCTTAGCACATACCTCCTTAGAAAATGGTCATAGTCACATATAAGGCCTAAAGAAGGAACTTATTCATTTTTCTTTTTATCTAACCCAACCAAAGGTTTAAACATCTAATTATATAGTCCTTAGGCCGTATAAGTACTCATTATCATAAACAAGCACTCTAAAAATATACTTCCTTTGTAATTGGCTAAGAGGCTTATAAAGGAAATCATGTCAATTTCGTGATTTCAATGCTTTAGTTTATCAAATTCAAGCTTATCATACAACCATAATTATCATTAGGTAATAAAACCCTTTTTACACATTAATTCATCCATTTATGCCTTAAAACATAAGACACC